GAAGGAAGGAAGGAAGGAAGGAAGGAAGGAAGGAAGGAAGGAAGGAAGGAAGGAAGGAAGGAGGGATAACAATTAAACAATTGTAGTCAAATGGAGGTATAATGATGGTAATATGTATAAATATCTGAGTTAAAATAATAATAAATAAATAAAAACCACTTACGATCTCCAAATATGCAAAACTGTCCTGAATTAAATTGCTGACAGTGCGGTAGATGAAATTCATCTTAAGCATTCATATTCATGAGAAGCCTGGTTCAAATATGTTGGCAGGTTTCCTAAAAAGGCCCTAATTGATTCATGAGTATGTAGCCAAGTTTCAATACAAAACTAGTCATTTATTAGGAGCATCATAGGCAAGACCTTTTCGCAGTCAAATCTAAGCTTTGTTTGAGTTATAGCTGAACTTTACTCCTGTTCCTTCCCTCCGCTCAGTCTGTGTCATAAATCACATTCCCCAATGAGGTGCACCCATCCCAAGCCTGCTGCAGTAATCTGAAATCCGACTTCAGCCGACAATATGCGTAGAATGCACTGCCCCTCCCTTCTCTCACTATGGCAGTGTTAGGAGTTGACATATGTTCTTATTGGCTGTTATAAAGAGAGCGTGTGGGTCAAAAAACTTCCCAACTTTTTCGGGGAATTACAGATTAGGAAACCAGCTCTTCCTTACTACTGTAAGGGCCCTTGAGATGTGTGGCACTACAGTTCTCATCAGCCACAGCCAACAGGGGCCATCCCCAGCTAAGCGTGGCATTGATGGGAGTTGTAATCCGAGCTATCCAAAAAACACCCATTCACAAAAGTTCCTTGGAAATCAAAATCATAGAGCTTTAAAAAAGATCAAACTTTTCTGCCTATCTTTTCCAAAACATGAAGGGCTCCTTTGTTGTATTAATGGCGCTACAAAACGGGAGTAGCCAGGATGAAACCTAAATCTGACATCATTTCACATACAATTCAAATTCAATTAAATACATGCACCACCTTGTATTTATTTATTTACAGATTCTCACCGATGATTTGCTAGATTCTCTGCCTGGGCAACTTTAAAGATGGGTGGATTTCAACTCCCAGAATTCAGCACAGCTGGCTGGGGAACTCTGGAAGTTGAAGTCCACCCAGCCAAAGCGGTGAACAACACTGCATCAGTTAGACAGTCAGTTTGGTGTGAGCTCCTGAAGAGATCCTGAGTTCTAATCCTGCCTTAAGTATGAAGCCAACTGAATGTCTAGAAGAGCAAGTCCCTCTCAGCCCTAGAAAAGAGGCAAGGAAAATTCACTTCCAAAAATCTAGCAAGAAAACTATAGGGAATTGTCTATGCCAGAGGTGTGAAAGTGGATTTCTTTTGAGGGCTGGATCAGCATTGTACTTGTCCTCCGTGGAAGAACAGTGCTGCTGGAGACCGGGAAAGTCGAAAATGGGCCACACGGGGACCTCCGCAAGACTGTTTTTGGCTGGCAGAGGCACCCCGGGCCTGTCCTTTTGATATTTCCAGGCCAGATTTAAGCACCCCGCGGCCTGATCCGGCCCATGGGTCTTGAATTGACACCCCTGGTCTGTGCAGTCACCAGGAGTAAAGACTGATTAAAAGGCACAAAAAAATGTATTACTGTATTTTTCGGAGTATAAGACGCACCTTTCCCCCCTAAAAGAGCATGGGAATTTTGGTGAGTCTTATACACTGAATACAACCATTTTTGGCCTCCCAAAGCCCCACCCCCGCATCCCATTTTTGCAAAAAATGAGGCTTTTTTGCCTTCCCTCGGCCCCCAGCAGCACTCTGCAGGCTTCAGCAGGGCTGGGGCAAGGCAAAAACGGGGGCTCTGTTGAAGCCTCTTCAAAATCTTGGTGCGTCTTATACACTGGTGCGTCTTATAGTCTGAAAAAAGCCAATTTTTATGGGCTTTTGGGGGTTATCCTCAGATTTTGCAGGGGGCACTGATATTGCCTCTTGCATTAACCCTGGCTCAGGGGCACAGTGCGAATGTTCCCCAAACAGTCCATCACAGCTACAGGAGATTGACACAAGCGCCATAGGTCAATCCACCAAGACAAGGTGGAAAACAGGAGATGGGACCAACGCTCACCAACTGGGCCTCCTTCTGCCTTAGGAGGAAGCCCTCAGCAAGGGCCACCGCCTGGGCACAGCTCTCCGGTCCCCGGTCCCTGACGCAGCCTTGGATCTCTGGGGGTAGAATGACCAGGAACTGCTCCAGCACCAAAGTCTCCAGGATCTGCTCCTTGGTGTGCCTCTCTGGCTTCAGCCACCAGTGGCAAAGCTCCCGGAGACGGTTGCAGACTTCGCGGGGTCCTTCGGCATCCTGGTAGCAAAAATGCCGGAACCGCTGTCTCTGGGCCTCCGTGTTCCCGATCTCTTCCTCGCAGACTTCCTCCTTCACTTTCCAGCCAAAGACCGGCGGGGTTGTCCCGCCAGCGGGCTGGACCCGTTTGGAGTCACTAAAAGCCACCAGCTCTGGCAACGGAGGGGAGCCCCAACCAGGATGCGGGGCCTGTACCATCTTCAGGAAATTCTGCCACTGGGCTTCCCAGCGCTGGGCCAGGCCCTCGTCCGGCTCCTGCTTGATCTGCAGTGGGGACCCCCGTCTCGGTACTTCGGTGGGGCCACCGGCCTGGACGACGCAAGATTCTTTCTGGGCTCGCTCGGCCAGCTTGGCGCAGGCTGTTTCCTTCTCCTCCATTTTGACTCTCTTCCCTTGAACAGCCTGGACTGGGAGGTGCAGGGACGAGGGAGCGGCCCTTTCTTTCCGGATCGCTTTGCTGGAGGCCATGGGAGGGGTTCTTATCCCATCTCAGGCCCAAACTGGGGTTCCTTCCTTGATGTCCACCAGGGAGCTCTTTTGGGATGGTGAAGGGCAAACTTCCCCAAAACTCACACCAATACTGCCAATGGGGCACAGCTTTCTCCCCTGTGTCAAAGAAAATAAGAGAATAAATTGCGGCAAGGATTGCCTTTGCCCAGAAATGGAAAAACAAATTAACCCCAAGCGAAGATAAAATAATAAGAAAGGTTA